AACTGTTAAGTTTTAATCCTCTTTTAGACTAAAAGGGGAATTGTAGGGGAAGCTGTAGCCACGCCTACTTAGGGGCTGGCTACAGGTGTGCCTGACCACGCCCTCACAAGCTTGCGAGGGCGTGGTCAGGGGACATAGGGTGACTGCGTTTTCGCTTTCGGTTTCTCTTTTGGGCTTGCTTACAGACTGCTGCCACGCCGGCTGGCTAGGTCGCTCTGTAAGTAGGGCTTTTCCCTATTAAATACCCTTATATTTCTACCTGACTCCATATTGGTAATTTCCCACTATATGGATTAACATGGGCTTCTTCAAAGATAACACCACTGGAATCCACAAACTGATTTTTACAATTTTTATTCATTTTATACTTTATTTGGATAAGGTATTGTCTACAGAACTAAAACAAGGTCCCCTGCAAGAGCAACAATTACTTTTGCCACCTGAGTCAACTCTCCTGTCCCCACACACTGAGTTTGGATGAAAACTGAATTCTTTGTCTTTCCCTTCTCTTGTAAGCAAACATTCATATTTGTTTTCTCCTTTCCTCTAAATCCTTGATCATATGTTCTGCTCAGTCTAGTCCAGACAGGTTCCTCCAAAGAAACTCTGTTGGGATATGCTTGAGTGTAACGATAACTCTTTCTGCCAGCATCTGAGTTCTGCTGCCTCTTCAGGGCCCCCAAATAACACACAGAGACTTATTAGTTGCAATGCTGCTCGCCCAGGACTAGGATTTCTTATTTGCTAGCTCTGCCTTAATTTATCAACCATAACTATTAATCTATATATTTTATAAGGACTTATGGAGGACACCAATCTCATGTGTCCTCTCTTCCTGGGGTCACATAGCGACTCTCTTCCTTTACTGCATTTGCCAGAATCCTTCTCAACTCCTAGTCCCACCTCTCTTGCTTCCCTATTGGCCAAAAGTGCTTTATCCATCAATCAATAAGACAAACATATACACAGAAGGACTTCCCCCATCACTTGAGGCATTAACTAAAGTGAATGCCAGTAACCAAAACAAACTAGTACAGCAACAGGGTAAATAGGTTGGGTAGAATATGTCAAAATCCAGCACTGCCCCTTCCCCAATCTGCCATTCAACTCATTTAAAGAGGTATTAAAGGCCCGAGCCCCAATTCTGTCTTTTCCGAGATTCTTCCTTGGTAACAATGCTGGCTGCTGCTTCTGGAATACACCTGGAGGTCACAGCTGAGAGGATCCTAAAGTTGCTTTAGGCATTTGGGAGGGGGCTCAAGTAAAGAGCTGTGAGCAGAAGCCAGGGAGCTGTATGCTTCAGCCACAAGTAGGGATGTGAGCCCACCATTGTCTTCCAGCTTGAGGTCTCAGAGACCTCAGAAGCATGAGCTGTAATGAAATCCAGTGCCTGGGTTTTCAGCTGCCCTGCACTGTGGAGGGCAGCCAGGAAGAGAGTGTGGGCAGCATTCTCAACACAGAGGTCCCTGCAGAAGGCATCCTTGCACATGACCTTCAAACGCTCCAGGCCATACTTGTCAGCAGCTGCCAGCACAGCATCTGCCATGGTGTAGAGGTCTGGTGCCTTCCCGGTATAAATGAAGTCCATCATTGTCTTGAAGACTTGCCGCTACAGATCATGGATCTCAACACGTTTTTTTTTCTGCTCTCCTCCATGTCATGTTCAAACATGGCTCTGAAAACTGAAGAGCGAGCTGCTAAGATGGCCTTGTGAGCCTGGAATTCCTGGCCAGCTACCACCAGGCAGCAGTCTGTGAAGAGGGAATTCTCCCACAGCTCTCCTAGCTCATCTGCCATCTTGCACCTTGGAACCTGGATCCCTTGCTTTGGGCTCAGGTCGTGGATGCTGATGAAGTTTTGGAACACCATCCCTATGTGGTGAGGAGGGTGAGCTTGTCTTCAGGGAGAAGCCGATGTGCATTTGCTAAGAGGAAATCTCGAAGGATGAACCTTTTGAAACCTTCTTCGTAGTCTGGCAGGAAGGTAAAGGCTTTTGGGCTTATTGCAGTTTCGTTTTTTTTTCTCCTTGGATGTTGATGATCCAAAACTGAACAGTGCCCCCCAGGGGACTCTGGAGAGCTGAGCAACTCTAGGTTAACTGACAGGTAATCTCTGCTTTCTTTATCTACCCCATTTGGGTGTAGTCTCAAACACTACATGTCTTTATCCCCTGTTGAGAAACTTGGGCTTCTTATGCTGTCCCGAATTTTCTCCATAGAAAAACGGGAGTTGCTGATGGTCCACTTGCAGAAGAAATTCTGGACTCTGAAATGTTTGTAGTCCCGGCTCTGGGCTGTCTTGTCCTCTGACATTTCTCCTGGAGGTACTTTGAAGGTTAAACTGAATCCAAAATGAAGAACTAGGATTTGTTTTTTCTCCACCCTGCAGGACACAACAATAGTCACATTTTAGATTTTCAGTTTCTATTTCTTCTCTGTTCTCTCTTTTATGAGGCTGGAAATATGGGTCTCTGAAATTCTCTATTCAGATTTCAATAGTAGTTTCAGTGTAGATAGTGTAGGCTACTAGGCACTCTTACATGATTTCATTTTTTTTTTCTAGATTGATTCTTAGGTCAATAGGTAACTAATTTTGACAATTATATACAAGTGTTCAAAATTTGGAACATTTTATACACTCATAAAAATGTGTACTAGGGTTCTCTAGAGTAAGAGAACATGCACAATGAGTCTCTGTATGAACAGAGGGAACTCATTAGAATGACTTATGGCTGCAGTCCTGCTAATCCCACATTGACTAGCTTAAGGAAAAAGTCCAAGAATCCAGTACTTACTCAGTCCAGGAGGTTGGCCCTGGTATCTCCTGGAATTCCAGAAAGTATTCTCTAATTCTAATGAAGTAATGGACTTGCAGCAAGGTGAGGGCAAGCAGGCAGAGAGCAATAAGTTCCAGCTTCCATGACCTTTTATGTGCTCCCAGTGGAAGTTAAGTCCCAATTTAGGGTGTGTCTCCTAGTATCAATACCTGGATTAAAGGTGTGCGTCTTTAGGCCTTGAGATCCAGCTTAAATGTTTGTGTCTTTCTACCTCCCAAGACTGTATTTGAAGTGGATCTACCTCCTTCAACTTAAACAAAACATTTCTCACAGTTGCGCCTTCCACTTTAGTGTTTTATTTGATTCCAGGTGTGTTCTAGTTGGGAACCAAGAATAACCATCACAAGTGCATATTGCTTAATGGAGTTAATCTTTCATAAATAAAGGAATGGTGTCCATTCCTTCCTTGTTATTTACTCTTCTCATGTTGTTATAAGAATTCCTCCCAGCTGGGTGGTGGTGGCTCATGCCTTTAATCCTAGGCAGAAGCAGGCAGAAGCAGGCAGAGGCAGAGGCGGGCTATTTCTGTGAGTTCAAGGCCAGCATGATATACAGAGGTAGTTTTAGAACAGCCAGAGCTGTTACACAGAAAAACCCTGTCTTGAAACAAAACAAAACAATAAAAACAAAACAAAAATAGAGAATTCATCCCATTAACAAGGTTAAGGAAGAGACACACCCTCTTCCCTCAGGAGGTCAATGTTTTAAATATGGAGCGCAGTGTGGAATAATTCATATATGGTGGCAGGAAGCAGAGTCAGCAGGACCCTCTGAAAATGGCTGTCTTCTTCCCTGCCTTTTATTACATCCATACTCACAGTCTGAGGGATGGCTCCACCAAATTTCACTGGTGGTCTTGCCCATCCTCCTCAGTTAATCCTCATTGAATTCACTCTTCCTGATCCACTTAAGGGTGTACTATGAGAAAATCCATAGACCTCTCATTCCAGCATGCTGACTACCAAGACTCAACTACTCAGTACCTCATATATGGAAACAGAGAGACCATGAGAAAGATCTCACTTTGTTTTGTGTAGGAGGCAAGAAAAATATCAAACAAAATTGTAGAATGGAGAGAAATGTCTTGATGTCTCCTTGTTGTTTTCTTCCATCTCTTCCTGCTGTACAGCCCAGGCCAGACCACTCCTGATTCCACTTCCTCAGCCTCTGAAATACTAGGGACCATAGGGTGTACCACATACATTCCATCCATTTAAAAGCATTTTCACTATCTCTTCTTCCTGCCATTTTTAACCATCTTATTATTGTCTATTTTATGATTTAAGAAGTCAAGTATTTAAATCGGGTCTTCAGAAGGCAGAGGTAGGCACATCACTGTTTTTGAGCCAACCTGGTCTACAAGATGAGTTCCAAGACAACCAACGCTGTGTAAGGACACATCATTTCAAAAACAGAAAGAATGAAAATCAGGCTGAAAGCTGTTTTTCAATGTGAGTGTGGGTGGTTAAAGCCTGCAGCTCAAGATAACCTTGAGCCTGACTTAGAAGGATTGCTTATATACAGGAAGGACATTGTAAACAATAATTCAATATCCTGTCTAGAAAAACATCAAAATAACTGTTTTCTCTATATATGTAACAAATATGATATTCTAAGTGGCTCTCTGTAGCCTGGGCCTGCATTAGAAAACAGGGGCAGCAAAAATGCTGGGCGTTTGATAGGTGTGTCCTATCAAACCAATCATACCAAATGAGGTCTTGTCTCCTAAACCAAAACACACTTAATAACTGCCGGGACCCATATCCAGTCCCTTAAATATCAGCCTTTCCCCAAATGACACATTCTGAAGTGGGAAACAGTGGTGTCCTGCTGTAAATTATATTCAGGAGGCAAAGACAATCTTTAGTATCATGCAGGAATATGTAGGGAGTTTAAGGGGGCCCTGGGAAGCATAGTTTCTTTGAGTTGAAGCTGACATTTTTTTTTTTTTTTTGGTTTTTCAAGACAGGGTTTCTCTGTGGCTTTGGAGGCTGTCCTGGAACTAGCTCTTGTAGACCAGGCTGGTCTCGGACTCACAGAGATACGCCTGCCTCTGCCTCGCGAGTGCTGGGATTAAAGGCGTGCGCCCCCACAGCCCAGCTTTTTTTTTTTTTTTTTTGATGGTGCAAAAGTTCATATTTGGAATTAGCCAGCTGGACTCAGTTTAGATGATCCTAATTTTGTTGGCAACATCCAGACCATCATCATCAGGAGCCAACTGAACGTATGCCTTCTTCTCTTCGTGAGACCTTATGAGGGTGTTGACTTTGGCAACATTAATGTCATAATGCTTCTTCACAGCCTGTTTGATCTGGTGCTTGTTGGCTTTGACGTCTACAATGGACATAAGCTTGTTGTCGTCTTCTGTCCTCTTCATGGCTGACTCAGAGGTCAGGGGGAATTTGATGATGGCATAGAGGTCAAGCTTGTTTCTCCGGGGCATGCTCTGCTCTTTTGAGGGTATTTGGGCTGCCTCCTGAGCCTCAGGATCTTGGATCACTGGAAAGTTGGTATGTGCAGATCTTCTTTTTTTGTGGCTGTGGATGCCTTTCAGTCCTGCCTTCTTCGCTTTCAAGGCCTTTGCTTTGGCTTTGGCTTTGGGAGGGGCAGGTACTTCCTTCTTAGCTTTCCGTGCCATCTTGGTGAAAAGGAGCATAATTTTAGATTTCTCTATTGAGAATTCTCAGTAGGGGAAACTGTAACCACGCCTGCTAGGGGCTGGCTATAGGTGTGCCTGACCATACCTCGCATGGTCAGGGTGACATAGTGAAGGGTTAAGAGTGAGGGATGCTCATGTGGCAGCCCCTTCTTCTGTTTCATCTTCAGCTTGCTGTACTTACTGCTGCCCCAACCGGCTGGCTAGGTCGCTCTGTAAATAAGGCTTTTCCCTAATAAATTCCCTTGTATTTTTACTGGGCTCTGTATTGGTAATTCCCACAATATCTGGTTGTCAGAATCGGGATCTTGTAAACCTAGGCTGCATTTGGGAGTGCCCATGGGTCCCACTGGGACAGTGGACTAGCTGGCTGGGAAAGCATTCCCTCTCTCCACAGGTGCTCCTGGCTCACAGCCGACCGGCAACACAAGAAGTTCCCATTGCTGCTGAGGCGCTCAGAACAGTCTGCCCAGCTGGGAGACTTCTACAGAACTCCCCACTGTTTTACCACCTCGGTTTCTAGCTGTGTGCACATGGGACCACCCAGATTTCGGCCTACCGGTACCCAGAAGCCTCCTGCTCTTGAGGAGAGTAGGCCTTGGGAGTAGGCCTCGGCTTTCAGCGGGGTCCGAAGCTTCCCCTGGCCATGGCAGCAGTAAAGCCACGCCTCTTTTAGTAGTTGCAGCTGCAAGGCTGTACACTCCCAGCTTAGCCCAGCGGCCTGTGTGACCTGAGCTCTGCTGCCGCCACCATCCTGCCTGCCTGACTCCTGCTAAAAGCTGCACTGACTAGCTGAACGCCTGTGCCTGCTGGTCGAAGATAGTTACTGCATCTGTAGTAGAAACCATAAGGGAAAATCATGGCAGACTATTTATCATTTGCTTCAGTTGGTAGTATCTTTGCTTATTACATGAATTTAATGACCGAGGAGGACGCTAATCTGCCAATTACCTGCCTATATGCAGTAATGGCAGTTAGCTTGCTGATACAAATAACATTATTAGCCAGTCCTCAGGAACAGGACAAAGATAACCTCACCACCTGCTTGCAGGAAATAACAGCTTTTTGAAATGAAATTTTGGAGAACAGATTAGGTCAGGCCACATTTGTGCAGCACGTGGAACAGAAGTTGGATGATAATCTTGGCTCTATGTCCAATATGCTAAAGACAGAGCTGTCTGTTACCCAAGATGAGATGCAGAATATTTATGATTAAGATAAACACAGAGAAATGCCCCATGTCTGAGGCATTAGAGGCTAGGCTGTCAGAGGACCATGATGAACTAAAGAATTTATGTAGCCAACTAGAAACTCAGATAGGCTTTGTGTCCCAGAAATTAGATGCAAAGGTGCAAAATACCCAGGATAGGGTTGAAGAATTGGACAATGCCATTCAATCAATTATTGAAGCATCTAAGGTAGCAGATCACAGATTTGAATCTAGGTTCAAATGTTTGGAAGATAATTTAGAGAACAGGGCTGACAGATTAGATAAGTCCATTCGGTCGATTGCTGAGGCCTCCACCTCAACAAATCACAACCTCGAGTCTAGACTCCAATATTTAGAAGGCAATTTCCATGCCATCCAGATGCTGCCTAAGGATGAGCATATTAAAGACCTAGAAAAACATGCAGAGGAGCAGTTAGAGCAATTTATGGATTCACAAATATGCTTGGAATCCTTTATTTTTTCTATTTTTCTATTTTTAATTTTTTTATTAGTTCAAGTTGGGAACAAGCTTGTTTCATATGTAAATCCCTCCCCCTCTCCCTCCCTTCACCCCCATCCTTCCTCCCCCACCCCCATCTACTCTCCACCCCCCAGGCAGGGTAGTGCCCTCAACAGGAGCTCTGCAATGTCCACCAAATCTTCCTGTGCTGGGCCTGGGCCCTTCCC